CCAAATTAGTTGCATTTTCCAATCCAAACTTAGGTAAGAATTGTCCAGTGTTTCAGCGAAAGTACATTTTATTCCTAGGGAGCGACAAGAATCAGGGTTTTAAAGCTGTTGCCACAAACATAGAGTGCCCTTAGTCTGGCCGGAGCCGACCAACCAGTCCTCCTGACCTTTGCTTGTATTCCAATAACGGAATTACTTCCGCTATGCAACTGCGTGAGGGGACTCTACATTGGGTCTCTGTCTGCAAAGTTAGTAGTACGTCCCCTAACCGCATTGCAGAACGCACATCCAACTTTGTTAGTCTTCTTGATCGCATAACATAGGAAAGTGGGCCAGTGATCCATGAGATAGATTGTTGAATTCAATGGCAATAAACATACGATGTACCGGATATAGTTAAGGCTAACTGTCAACGGAGATAATTAATAAGTCAGGGCAAGATCTACCAGTGCAATTTCACATTGTTGGTACCTTTATTCACAAAATTACTTGTTTCTATGCGAATGAGAGCGCATAGCTGCTTTTGCCGTACGATGGGCTCTGGGATATCTACAGTAGGTAGGCTAGCTCAATAAATGTCAAACCGAAATTCTGAAATGCATTTTCGTTTCGAAAGGATTAATTAAGTAGGGTTTAAAAACTAACTGTCCTGCAGTATAATTCTATTATAATTCGAATACCTCAGAATACCGGCTCATGAACCTAGTTTGTCCGAGTGCATGCAGAAAGTTTACGCCGTAATAAATGACTACTTATGTAGCATTCATTTTTCTGTTTGGTCTTCGATGCCCTTAAATATTCACGTATATTTCATGGAAAACATGGATAAGACATTCAGTCTCTTGTTCATTCGGTAGAAAATCATATGTTCTATTAATTTTATACTCGATGGTAGGACATAATTTGGTCTTCAAAACCTTTCTAATTCTCGATTAATTTTGAACCCGACCTGCCGTTAAACGTGCATTCAGGGTTTTTAAACTATAAGACATATATTTTCCTCGTACAAAAAACCATGCAATTCTCTAGGGCATTAGGAGACGGCCATATGCGATTCAAAAAATTTAGCAGTGGATTTCATCTGTATTGTTTACCTTACAAGCCGCAATGGTAAATATAGCAATGTGACGCTTTTTAAACGGTCATTTCCCAATATTCAAGAATTCTAAAATTAGAAACTTGTTTAAATTCTAATTATACCCTTTCTTATAGTATAAAATTGGAAGAAGATTGCATTGTCTACCGAATGAGCAAAAAAATATACATCTTTATGCACGTTTTCCACGAAACATAGTTGGATTTTAAAGGGCATCGAAAATCGCTGGGAAAAATGCATGCTAATGAAATAGTCATTTTTTTACGCCGTGAAGTTTCTGCCTGCAGCCTGAAAGAAGTTTATTCGAAAGCTGACATCCGACGGTTAATGAATTATTATACAATGAGGCTGCAGTTTGGTTAGTTTTACAACCCTACTTAAATAATATTTTCGAAAGGAATGCGCATTTCGGTCGACATTTCATAAGCCAGCCTAACTGCTGTGCATTGGTGAGTAAAGGCGACGAGACAAGCACGTAACGCATCCCGACCGGTAAACACAATCCTCCATGCACTTCTGAACTTGGATATCGTTTTTTTACTGTTACATATGCCTTGCTTCCAGTCGGAGAACGGCACAAGACACACATGGAGGTTCGTACTAACGACAGTTAAGTAGCTGCTATAAAGTACAGTTGCGGCTTCCGTTACGTTGCATGACATTTCCGGATCGAGTGAACCACAATCATCAGGGTAGATAATGGATGTCTGTACAAACATCCTGCGGGAAAGAAAAGTGCATAATGCTACAAACGGATATCAACCGGCCACCTCTTTCATGGCTGACAGTGTGCGGATCACTGTACGTATACACACAGTCGAAACTCAAACATCCGTCCCCTTTAGTGAAAAAGCTGGGATGTAGAGTGTTTTAGACAGCTTGCAACGGGAATATACTACCCCTATGGAAGGGCACAACATAAGAATAACTGCAGTTTTCTGCATAAATACCTCGAAGACTAACTAATGCCACATCGTCCAAGATATAGGGCTCTTAGTAACATGGTTATGGACGCTTTGTTGAGCGGATGACGAGAGTCTTCATAGACGATTACCCTTGGCGTCTTCACAAATACAGGACTAATTTTGGACAAAAATTAAATGGGATTAAGACAATATTTTCTGCGATTCTATCGCTGGGATCTTGTGAAGTCAATCTTTCCCCTGACACATCACAGCCAAGCCACAAGCAGAGAGGCTTTGGAATATAAGATGACTGTATAGCAGTCAGCAGGCATGTGAAGCCCCAACCTGGCCGACAATCGTTCGTCTAAGCAGCTCACAAAGTGGCAACCACGGGTGGTTTTACATGCTGATTGTTTCAGAGCCACAGATGCGGACCTGGTGGACTTTACTGCCAACCTGGAAACCACGTTTGTGAGACATAAATGACGACCTTGTCCGAAACCATGTTGCCTTCATGCTGACAGGACGCAGACCGCCTCACTGTAGTTCGCAGTGAGTTATTTAATATGAAGGGGCTGAGAGGAGATGAAAAAACTGCCCTTGTGTCCGCAGATAACATAAGAATGTCTCTGATGATGGATTAGAGTGAGAATCCGAAACGTCAGGCAAATAAACTTCTTGTCCCAGTGATCGCATCTTCATCTTCTAAACGAGTAAATATTGTAATGATCCGAGAAAACTACAATGAGGCAGTTAAGGCGTTCGCGATGACTGAAAATTTTACATACCAGTACGAATTTCAGAAGTCAAAATAATAACATATCGACTGGATAGAATTCTCAGAGAACAGAGGCGGCAAAACGTCATCAAATGGAGCAAGGTGGAAGCTACTGACACCATTCTGACACGTGTCTATGGTCTAAGGACAATCCATATACCAAATGTTCCACTTGACCCATCGTCACCTAGAATGGAGCCCTCTCTATAATTCGACCAAGTGGATGTACATAAAACTGAAAGCAGACGGTGGCCTGCGATGGATCCAGAATTAACGCAATAATATTTATATTTCTATAAATAACTTCATCCTCTCAGCTACATTTCTTGGGACGCTCTTTTTTCAATTCATACATACAGAGATGGAAATAGGCGAAAATGCTGAACCCACGAGTTGAAATGGAAGACGAGTGTGAGAAGATTCAGTCACCCGAAGTTTCGCACCCGTCCTCGAGAGCATCATCAGAGGTAGGCAAAATGAGAAGTACGTATATGTATATTTGAAAGTACCAGGTTATTTAGAAAGTTATGCGCACCTTACTTCGTAAATATCCGAAACTATTCGTCTTCAGACGTGTATAAAATATGCACAACAATCAACATTTTTAAAATACACAAAAAATTGAACTCGCACTGTCATTGTGGCAAAAGGTCATGACTGCGAGTGTACATCCTCCGCAGGTTGGCTGCCGGCGTTCCACTTCTAGCTGAGATTATTTTACATGGCGTCTAATTTAATATGCCAGTTAGTGCAGGCCTCATCGAAAGGTGTGGCCTCAAAACTCTTTGAACCGTCTTAGGCGGACAGAAAACAACAGTGCGATTCCTGTCTCAAGCCAATTTTTCGCAGCCTTCTGGTGTATGCATGGCCGCTCGAGGTAAGTGGTCTCCCCTCTTCACGGCCAGCTGATGTTTATATGTGCACGTAGAGGCTGGCGTTGCAGCTTGCCATAATACTGCGGCTTAATCTAACTAGAGACGACATATGAATGTCTGCACACGATGAAGAAAGGGAAACTTAACTGAGATAAGCGCATCTTATTTAAATTTAACCACCCTAATTTATGGCATTCTGAGGTAACTGGCGTGGGTTTTCAAATCTACCGAAAGGAGTACTTGTGTTCTAGCCCTGATGAAATTCACATATGTCGACTTATATAAATAGCAATAAAAATTTGATTACCAGGTGACATGTCAAATGCGAAAGAGACATTCACTGGAATAGGCTCATTGAAAGTGTGAAGTTCCGAGTAATTATTTCGTCTACATAAAACATTCTAGTTTCTGAGGATGGTAGGCAAAATAACAACTTAAAACGTCAGACATTCAATAGAACTCTCCCGGCAAACGCCTCTCCCTCCTTTGACTTAACAACCTGCATACTACATAAGAGTATGTGCAGAAAACGAATGCTGCCTATATTTTAGTCTTAGACCTACTTGACAGAACAGTATCGCCTGAAATTTGTTTGATCAGAAGAAGAAGCGATCGCTGGAACAATGGCTTTATTCGCCTGACGTTTCGGATTCTCTCTTGAATCCATCATCAGAGACAGTTGCAGAAAAGGGTGGCTAGTGTACAGGAAGTCGCAGTATTTATAGGATGCGGTCGCCATGCTACCGCATACCTACAGCAATCAACCCTGCTCACTTCATCAAGGATTGTTGCCCGATTGTGCGCTAATTGCTTGATGGCCGGCATGCAAGTTGTTAATTGCTGACATCTCATCACCCGTGTTGGATGCTGGCGTGATGATTGCTCGGCCATCTGGCTCACGTGCTTGCGCGCTCCTCGAGTGGTCAATTGCTTTGACCAGTCTATGCCTCAGGACAGAATATGGAGTGGGGATGTCGTTGCACTTGTTGATAGACTGAGGTCCCGTGAACCATGACTCAAGCAACTCGCGGCTCACGCGATTATCCCCTCTCGCGAGAATTTCGGCCTCATCGAACTTGAATGTGTGGCCGGGTCTCGTCAAATGGGCCGCGACCTGAGAGTTGGCGTCATTTCTCCGTACAGCTGCCACGTGTTCGGCGATTCGCGTCCGGAGCAGTCTTCCAGTTTCTCCGACGTAGTTGCTTTGTCCGCAACTGCACCAGATCCGGTAAACGACTCCAGATGTTTCTTGCCGTGGCAGTGGGTCTTTTGGTCTCATCACTTGACGCCTCATGGTGGCCTCCGGTCTGTGCGCAACTCCAACCCCAAGTGGCGCAAGAAGGCGGCTAACGGCCTCGGAGACGTTCTTGATGTACGGGATCGCTCGCCAGAATTTGGGGTCGGCGCAGACACTGGTTGACGAAGTTGCGCGGGTCACCGTTTTCTCGGAAAACCCGTCGAAGATATTGGGATTCGGCAACCTTGTCTTCCGGTTCACTGCAGTGCGTCTCAACACGCCGAAATAGCGTTCTTATGCAACTGCGTTTGTGGCAGATTGGGTGGTTACTGTTGAAGTTCAGAATTCGCGTCGTGTTCGTTGCTTTTCTGAATACTTTGTTCTTTAGGCCACCACAATCTTTGCGACAGACGAGGACATCAAGGAATGCCAGCTGGTTATTCTCTTCCTCCTCCATCGTGAATTGTATGTCCGGGAAGACGCTGTTGAGACGTTCTTTGAACGTTAGCACCTGATCCCTTTCGATGACGACGAAGGTATCGTCCACATACCGAGCCCAGAATTTCGGTCTGTGGTGTTGGAAGACCAGCGACTCCAACCGCTGTAGCACCGCCTCGGCGATGGTTCCCGAAATCAGCGAGCCCATAGGTGTTCCCTTCACTTGCTCGTAGATTGTTCCGTCAAACGTGAAGTACGTCCTGAGACAGAACTTTAGGAGCTGAAGGACTTGGGCATGTCCGAGACGATTCTCCCTTTCATCGTATTTGTTTTGTAGGAGTAGCTGGACGGTCTCGATTGCCAGATCCTGTGGGATAGAAGTAAAGAGGGACGTGACATCAAAAGATACCATGACCCCATTGGGCAAGAGACTTACTCCTTTAAGTTTCCCCAGGAATTGCGTTGACGAACAGACCGTGGTGTCCGAATCAGCGGTCAGAAATTTGAGGCGCCGAAACAGCTATCTTGCCAGTCCGTACGTTGGAGTGCCTTTGAGCGAAACAATGCGCCGGAGAGGAGCGCCCTCCTTGTGCACATTTGGGAGACCATAGAATCGGGCCAAAGCCGTTTCTTGGGCTCTCGCCATGCGTCGTCGGTCGCTGTTATTGCACCCGAGTTCTCCAGTGCCAACAGTGTTGCATTTATTTCGCGTGTCAGCGTTTTATGGGGTTGGTTTCACATGGGACATAGAACTGGCGATCCTCCAGTAGGTTTTTGGCTTTCTGAAGGTAGTCTGTTCTGTCCAGTACGACGGTGGAACGCCCCTTGTCCGCGCACACAATAACGATGTACTTGTCGGCCTTGAGTTCTCTTAGTGCATCGCGTTCGACCTTTGTGAGTGTTTCGCGCGGCTTGTGAGTCATAAGGAGGGACGTAACTTGGTGTCGGATAAGGTTCTTCGTCTCCTCCGTCGCTTCCGTCTGATTAATGACCGATTCCACTGCTGCAATCATGTTGACAGGTTTGGCGTCAGCTGTGTTGAATGAGGCTTCGTGCCGTAAAACCTGTGCTTGCTCCTTCGTCAGTTCCTTTGACGACAGGTTGTGTACCAGTGTGCCGCTTCTGGATGACGTTGGATCAGGCAGTTTGTAGAATTTGTTCCCCAGAGCTGCATCGCGTGTCGCTCTCTGCTCGCGGGCTCGTTCAGTCACTTTCTGCTGAAGCAGATTTGTGCCATTCTCGCCCATGAACTCGCAGCATCTGGCCTATTCTTGGTCAATTCTCTGACGGTATTTGCGTAGTCTCGCATGGCAATCTTGAAGGAGCACACAGATCATACGTCTTCCGTGCTGCAATACTGCTCGTTGCAAATTCTGAACTTCAACAGTAACCACCCAATCTGCCACAAACGCAGTTGCATAAGAACGCTATTTCGGCGTGTTGAGACGCACTGCAGTGAACCGGAAGACAAGGTTGCCGAATCCCAATATCTTCGACGGGTTTTCCGAGAAAACGGTGACCCGCGCAACTTCGTCAACCAGTGTCTGCGCCGACCCCAAATTCTGGCGAGCGATCCCGTACATCAAGAACGTCTCCGAGGCCGTTAGCCGCCTTCTTGCGCCACTTGGGGTTGGAGTTGCGCACAGACCGGAGGCCACCATGAGGCGTCAAGTGATGAGACCAAAAGACCCACTGCCACGGCAAGAAACATCTGGAGTCGTTTACCGGATCTGGTGCAGTTGCGGACAAAGCAACTACGTCGGAGAAACTGGAAGACTGCTCCGGACGCGAATCGCCGAACACGTGGCAGCTGTACGGAGAAATGACGCCAACTCTCAGGTCGCGGCCCATTTGACGAGACCCGGCCACACATTCAAGTTCGATGAGGCCGAAATTCTCGCGAGAGGGGATAATCGCGTGAGCCGCGAGTTGCTTGAGTCATGGTTCACGGGACCTCAGTCTATCAACAAGTGCAACGACATCCCCACTCCATATTCTGTCCTGAGGCATAGACTGGTCAAAGCAATTGACCACTCGAGGAGCGCGCAAGCACGTGAGCCAGATGGCCGAGCAATCATCACGCCAGCATCCAACACGGGTGATGAGATGTCAGCAATTAACAACTTGCATGCCGGCCATCAAGCAATTAGCGCACAATCGGGCAACAATCCTTGATGAAGTGAGCAGGGTTGATTGCTGTAGGTATGCGGTAGCATGGCGACCGCATCCTATAAATACTGCGACTTCCTGTACACTAGCCACCCTTTTCTGCAACTGTCTCTGATGATGGATTCAAGAGAGAATCCGAAACGTCAGGCGAATAAAGCCATTGTTCCAGCGATCGCTTCATCTTCTGATCTACTAGTTCCTGGAACTCGCATTTTCGCTTGTATTTAAATTTGTTTGTCATCTTATTTGCTCCGACTAATAGTTCACGCCAAAATATTTGCTTCAGAATCATCTGCCTTTTACAGCGCGCGGTGATATTCATCAGCTTATTGAAATGGCCGCTAATATAATGAATGAAGTGCTTAAGAGAATTGCATAAATATTGCTGAGGTGCCTAATTAGACTCTCGTTACTTATTTTTACGCCAGACAATGAGAGTAGTTTTGAGTACAACGTTTGTTTTTACATTCAGCTGGACAGCTAGACTGCACATAGGGTTCCAAATTATTTTTTTTTATTTTGGTCAATTGTTTATCTAGCAGGGCAGTACTTGGGAAGTACGCACGCACACCTACGTTTCGTAGCTGATAAATAAAATACTGTATTGATTCGGTCTCTCGTCTGAGACTCAGATGCCGCAGGTATGGTGCAACTACCATAGTCGGCTCTCCATTAAGCGGCTGTCATGCATGGCATACGTTAGCAAAGACCGTAAGTTGCCAAAATAACAACTATCCAGTCACAACAGTGTGAAAGTGTGCCTTCGTGTGTCTGCAAATCCATAGTCGCATTGTCTCCCCTCAGAATAAAGCCTTGTCTGCAGTATCCTTTCTCTAACTTGTCTCTGTAAATGTATCTCAACAACCTGCCTTCATTAATATATTCCTAATTTAACGACGAGAAGGAATTTTACGAAACCCAATCTTGCGAGATCCGGATAGTAAACTCGAAAGTATAAAAGGCACGATCACTGGGACGGTGGCTTTATTGGTGTTAGCTTTCGAACTCGAACAGGAGTTCATCATCAGGAACTGTCTGAGTGTAATAAACTGTGAACAGTTATATCCTCCTACCGTTTTAACATCGGATGAGTGTGTCTTTGAGCCTCCTGTTCGTGGCAGGATTTTAGCTGGAGAACGAACGAGGCGACATGGTGCTGGGAGAGGAAGAATGTAAAAACCGCTGTTCATGGTCAATGAATCTAGGTGTGCGTGTACGTCTGCTCACAAGAGGTACAGAGCGTGGGCGGGGTTTTTTCAAATGACTATGAAGTTACTTTTAATCCACGACGTTGCAGTGGCATTAGACGAACGTTTATTAATTGATTGAGTATGTGGAGGGGCCTGTTTATATCCACAACATCTGCATCAGAATTGAAATATGCCCCATTTTGTTAGTCTCACCTGCATATGTTCTTTATTGCTTTTTCAAGCACACCGCTCCCTGCCATTTCGCTCAATCCCTTCTTCCAACATGTTATTTGTGGTCAAATGAAAAATCCTCGTCATGTTTTATAAACAAATGCGTGGCTGATAATTCTGTACTCACTTTATCCACATGTGTTATAACTGAAGACGTTAATTTGTGACGATCTGTCGGTGAAAGGGCAGACTTTTTGTAAAATATCTTTTCTTTCGGTCTGCTGACCGAGAATGCAGGCAAAATACATTATTTGCCTCAAATCGTTATCACGGTATCTATGACATTGAAGAAACACCGGTACGGTCGCACATGATGTTTTAATTCACTTGTGTCCAAAATGATTTGGCAAGAGTACGCAGTTATTAGCTCAACCGTCTAAATATTGATTGATACATCTCAGAATTAGATCGCGATGCAAATCCTTCTAATGCGATGAGACTCCAAAGACTGCTAAAACGCAGCTGAGGCAAAGGGGTGACATCTAATAATTGAACAACCACAGGATTGATGTATCGTCATATAAGGAGAAAACACATATCTCAATTACCTTGTAAGCTTTACAATTCTGCTTATGACCTAAACAACTACAAATATATACAAATTCTGAGTTTGCAAAGTGAGCCGAATTTAGAGGCATTCTGTAAAAGTTGATTTACTGCATCATTTATCTTTAGTATCTTATAGTGTTATTACTTGGTAGCTGGCCAAAGTGTTGGCTGTAATAAATATTTGTCGTTGACGTCGAAAATCCTGGTATCTATGAACCTGAATAATCTTTTGCACTTGAGACATGTTCATACCTGCTTTTTTCAATAATCTTCAATGTAACCGTCAATTATGTCCACTACTTTATTCCAGTTAATACTCGTCGTGTTCTCATATCAGTGTGACGATTTGTGAACGCTGCTCATTGAAACAGAATATGTTTTGCCTTTCCATTAGACCACTTGTTTTTCTTCCTGCTCAGAGTGACTACCCGAGGTCTATTATCTTGGGCAAAGCGATTACTGCTGCATTAAACGTAGACAATAGTAGCGTAAACGAATTTTACGCAGCTGATGCTTATGTTTTTGTCTGCAGAAGATCATATGACTACTAACCTTATTCTTAGGTCGGCTTTTTCGTCCGACACCATGTTTGCCTTTTTTGATCCAAACAGCTCGTCGACCTTTTATATAAAAGGCGTTTTTATTCAAACTTGTGAGGTTAAATTCGTGATCACAATTACGCATACGCTGTCCCTGACATCAAAAAGCACTTTAAAACCTTTCTTTGCTGTTCTTCACTTTCGTCAAGCCAAGACAGAGACTCATGTGTCGATGTTGATTGAAATCCGTTACACTCTGCAATGACAGTTGAAGGCCTCGCTGAAATCCACAATGGAAGAAACAAATTTAATTGTATATGCTTACAAAAGTTAGTAAATTCGACAAAAGATAATATCACAGTTATGACTATCAAGTGCTGTCTTTCTGGTGTCTGAAGTAGACGAAACAGTGGTTTCACTGTCGCCAAACTATAGCTCATGTCCACTATCTGGGGCTTGGTTTTCAAGCCTATTCTTCTTATATTTTCTCAACCACTTTGAAAAACTTGGGTCAGCTCGTTCAACCAGCATGGCTTTCTCCTCTGCAATACGTGACAGTCCGCGAGACGTTGCCGACGATTTTCACTATTTACCCTACTGGGTCGCTGGGGTGGTGACTTGCACGTGAAAAAATTTATGGTGATGCTGGACTTGCGCTTCGTCTACCACACTCTATTCTTCCTCAACAGTCTGTGTCCAGTGTTAGGCAATATTCCTGCAGAGGGGTGACGGGGTGGGGTTCAGCGACCGTTGTGGCTCAACGACCGGGATTTGGCACAAGCGACAAACATGGTGCCGGCTCCGATAGCAGATTAATGAGGGTTGCATGAAGGCTACGCTAAAGAAAAAGCCATCACAGCCTGACTCTCTGTCCTGATAGAGCGACCGAGTGATTCAGTCCGCTGGCTGCATTCCAAGACCTGGTCTTAAGCCCATCATGACACTTTTAAAGCACATCAGATTTGGTTATTATTTGGAATATATGGGTCAGATTTGGTCATGTAGCCCACCAGATGGACACAATACTGTTGGAGTTGGCGTTAGGACTAGGGGCTGGGATAAGCGGTTAGGGTTAAGGGTTGGGGGAACTATTTCTTAGCCACTCAACGTACAACTGCGCATTCCCAATAGCTTTTCTTTTGCATACAACTACTTAATTTCGTCGCCTATGCTTTCCCCTGCCACACCTGTAAAAACCCCCTATTACCACCAGTCACGTATTATAAGCGGGGGGTTGCTTTCTTCAGGTGGAGCTGCATAATCACATCGGACAGAAGTATGTTCCGAGAACTGTAATGACGTGGTCCATATAGTTGACTTCACTCTCTCCTCCCTAGTACGCTGTCCGAATCAGCCGGACTTCTGATGCACGGTTTGGGCTCAAATGACCGACAGAGCAGGAATGGCCGTCTGTGTGTGTGTGTGTGTCAAACGTGACATGGCCGTCTGTAGAGCACACCAGATTCTTATACAATGTAGTAATCGGTTCGAGTCCTATATGCGCGACAGTCTGAGAGGGAATATTAAGAGAGAACAGCTGAATTAGTCCCACCGTCCAACTGTTGGCAA